ACGGCCGGTGACGGAAGTTCGATCCAAGGCAGAGCAACTGGAAATCAGGGCGGAAGCAGAAGTACAAAGAGCGGTAGCTGCGGAGAGAGAAGACATTCGATCACTATCAACATCATGACGGGGTCCAACCTCGTCGGCTGAATTTTATGAGGCAGTAAATCAGAAATGATTCTTATTGAAGCTCAGCGCTCTCGATCACTCTCGTGCCGTGAATCGCTCGCTGCGAGAGCTGCCCGAACGCGGTCGAGAAAATCTGAATGAGCTTGAGCTTTCTGGGCAGGAATCGGATACCATTCATTTGGTGTACACAAAACGTGACTTTCGCTATCCGCATAGTTGATGACATGACCTCATTTTCGGAACGTTCTTCTCGGATTCCCTCCGAGACCGATGGATGGTCTCGCGCCGGGAACGCGTGGAAGATGAGGAGCTGAATCGATCGACCTGAAGCGATTATTTGCGAAAGTTTCCTTCGGAAAAGATCGTTCCTTTTATTTTCGACCGAATTCACCGCTCTTAGGACGTACTATGCAGGTAGATCGCGCCCGTAGGAGTTCAAAGTCGACAGTTCGTCTCATTGAACTTTATTGTTCCACCCGCTCCGAGGCGAAACAGATAATCCCTCCGAAAATTCGGGGTCTGAATTTCTGGTGACTAGCCTATTAATGTGCAGCTGATACCCTTACCCTCTTGAGGAAGGCTCATTTGACCGAAAAGACGTTCCAGAGACCTATCGGTGATTCTGAGGGACTCGGGAAGCTCCATCGTGATCGTTTCGATCGCCCGCATTTTTCTCTGCGGATTCGCGAGATGTCGGTGAGACGAGGATCTTGATGATGGCCCCGATTTTTGAAAATCTGCTACATCGAGGTTTATTGTGCGCCCATCCGCGATTCATATGCTGGCTCCCGCCCGAAAAAAATCGGAAGGTCACCGTATGCATGAATGCAGCGGAAAGCCATGAATCGTGGGTCTTCGATAGAGTTGTGGGTCATGGCTTCTAGACGGGACCTAGAAGTGGCGAATGCGAATCGAGTCGATTTCCGGAAGAGGATGGAAATGAGCGAGGAAAGCGGCGATTTCAATTATTTGAGGTCGGCACCTGATGCAGCGGCGACAACCTTTTCTCAAAATTTTGCTCCACTGAATTTCGAGATGCGAGGCTGAGGTCCGCTCCTTCGAGGACTAATTCGATGAACCTCCCGCTCCCGTGAGCATTCAGACCTCGTCTCTAGGATCGATGCCGGCATTCGAGTCTCAGGCTTCTGGACTCCACTCCGAAGTGACCTAATTCAACCCGCGGGAGAAAACTCGAATTCATAGGAACCTCCCGCCTGCGTGAGTCTTCGCCGTGCCTACGAATATCGGATATACTCGGCAGTTCGTCGTCAGGGACCATGTCTACGATGGTGACCTGGGATGAGACGGAATATTCGTCCTCAACGGAAACGCGCCGGGAAACAATTGAGTATGCAGTTTGCTGTTGGTGGACCTCTGCGGGCAGACCTCAACGCCGCCGTCGACTGCTGCTACTGTTCACTTGCGAGGCCTTCGCCGACGTCGAATTGGAGCTCGTATTGAAGTTGGCACGGCGTCCGATGCCGCTCGCCTGGCTGTGAGCGGGCTCAGTCGCGTGACCGAGCTGCATCTTTTGCATTGACCTCGTTCTCAGAATAAGAAATTCACTTCTACATCCAAGCTTCCCGCATCTACTCTCTCCCTCCGTAGCTGGCATGTTTTCCTCTCTCTCTCTCGTTTTCTGCTTCTGGAAGCAGAGCCAGCCCGGCGTGCCTGCCTCTGGGCTCGGATACGGGCACGAATTGAACGAGTCAACACTAATCGGCTATGAACTGCTTCCGTCAGCTGCCGCTGATGCGCCACGTTGAACGTTGGCGCGTTCGGGGCGGTGCTGCGCTGAGTTAACCACCCGATACTCCGTCAGACAAGCAGCCCATCGACAGATCGGTCGGCCGACCGAGCAACCTTCGAGTCAGCATCCACCTACTCTCAGTGGGTCGGCAATCCCGCATCTCAAGTTTATTGCTCAATCGACGATATGATTCTGTCGAATGTATCCCTGACCGAAAAATCGAGCAAACGACATACTCTGACGGCAGACGCGCACTCTCGAGCTCGATCCGACGGCGCCGACCTTGTGCATTCAGCGTGGGGCAGCCTCAGCTGCTTTCCGGAAAAGAAATGGTCGTCGCGACGCGGATGGGAGAACCCCCGAAAATCCATGAGCCTCGGATGAGAGGCCGATCGATACGCGTTAAGCTGGGACCTCCCGGAGATTTCGGCACGTAAATGGGTTGGACTGTCCGAGAGCGGTATTTATGGTTGCGCTTACGTCTGTCCAAAGAGTGACGCGGAGACGAATAGCGAAAGACAGGGATCTATCTATTTCCACCCGCTGAGCCAACCTTAACCGCGGGATCCTCGATCACACTGTGATTCTTGGCTTATTCGATTCTGGGCCGGCCGGGCGGCCAGTCACTCAGTCGGCTAGCTAGCTGGCGGGCTGGCTGGCCGGCTGGTCGGCCAGCTCTGATTGACGTACCTCCATAGCCGGCTATTGGATGTTTAGTTGAGTGCTCGATCTTTCGCTTGGCTGCCTGGTTGATAGTTGAGATGCTCGTTGGTCGGCTCCAACGTCAACGACGCGAATTAGTTCGTGACCCTCTGGGCTCCGCGGCCCCCAGCTGCTCGCTCTATGACCCGCTCTTCGACGGAAGTCGAATACACTGGAACTAGACATCTGGAGAGCACCGAATATAGCTTCCATTATGGGTCATTATCGCTTGACGGGGCATCGAAAGTGAGTGATCGGTATAAGAGCCGTCTAAGGTCGTTGCGTTGGACTGCGCCCCGTCAACACACGATCTTTGCGGATGCAGTAATTTCAGAATGATATTCATCATTGCTTCTGTCATCGATCGGTGACAGCACAGGCGGTGGGGAGATTCTGACCGTCTTCGTTGATGGGGGAATTCCTCCCCACTTGATTGTTTCCGAATTTCTCGCCACATATCGCAGAAATGTTCAGAGTACCCGGATTACCTGACAGAGGAACCTTCGAAAACGCTCAACAGGTCGCACTCGAATGTGAAATCTAATAGCTTGGATCAAGTGAAATCAGCTCAGCGATGAGTTGATCGCTTCGAGTCTTGGAGCATCGATTAATCTGGCGGAAAACGAGCTTATGATCACCATGAGGCCATTAGATCCGTCAGGCGAGCCAGGAGAAGGCCGGGAAAAATCACGGTCACACTCATGAGACTCATACTTTCCTAAAAAGGGGAGATTAGCACTTCCTCGAGCACGGGTACGGAACTTGACCCGCGAACGAAAAGCATCAACAACAACAACAACGAGTGAGCATGCATTTGTGAACGATAGACATCTGATGGAAAAGCTCGAGACGTCTCCGCTATCTTCTGATGGATCCGCTCTAAGCGATAGGCTAACATGAGCCGGAATGACGTGATCAGCCGCTCATCTACGACCGAGCACTCGCGAACCTTAGGATTGCCATGAGGATTAATGCATTCTGGAGTGTTTTGATATCTTGCTCGCTTCAATGCTCAGACAGCATCGATAGCGAGCCTTGAAGGTCCCCCACCGGCTCCCGTGTCTGTCCCGCTGGCTTTTTGACGACTTAGTAAGACAACCTCAATCGATGTTTTGACAATAATGGTCGCGTAGCCGACCTTGCTAGCCGTCATTGAAGAGATCGAGCTGCCATTTTGTATCCGATGATTGTATGCTACTCGACCGCTCCGGATCTCCTGCTTTCGGAGAGCACACACTTCCCGTTTCCCGCTGCGAGTACGCTTTGTCGATGAGCTCGTCTTGCGATCTGAATCCAGAGAGGTGTTTTTCAGATGGCCAGGCCCTACCGTAGATCCGATTTTTCATCGGCTATACGAAATTGATAGCTGCTCGTTCATAATCGGTGACAGCGATCAGATATTTGCCGGTAATCCCTTGTAGAGAATCTCCGGCCGAAGTCTTCCGATACATATGTTGCTTCCGCTTATTTTCGGCGCTGATCTTGCGCCCGGGGCGGATGAGCGAAGGCCATCAAAGCAAAGCGAACCTGTGGAATGCACTCAGTCGTTATACGTCGAGTCGTCATCAATATCATGCGACCAACCAACGAATTAACAATGCATGAATAAAACGCAGACAATAACTCAGACCGCGTGCAGCGACATCTGCAGAAACAATTCGCCGAGACTTGATGTACTTATCCAGCGGGTTTTAATATACGAGTGTCTATGGTAATCATTAGTTGTGAACTCGGAAGCATCGCCGCCGCTTTGTTTTCACGACTCTTCTCGAATTCTGCGATTCGCGGAAGTTCCTTTGAATGCCGGCCGGGTGATGCGACCCCAGAGGGGAGGAATGCGCTTCTGGATGAACTCTCGAGTAGACGAGTATATTTCACGGTTAGCTCTACTGTCTGATGCCGAAGCTGCTTCCTGTCAAATTTTCGTCAGTCGGACGGAATAATGCGGAAGTTTCCCCGCTTCTCGTTTGTCGGAAGCAGTCTTCCACATGTAGCTTGGGGTAGGGCTCCTCGTTATTACCTCGTTATTACCTCGTCGACCTCTCTCGTTTTCATCTGTGACCGGTGCTTGGATACTTGCTGTCCAATGAGATGTTGAAAGGAACAAAATCCGAGAGAAATGGGTAAATAGACTTTTGAGACAGAACAGTGTGCTGTCATCTGTATTCGTTTTCTTATTGAATGGAAAGCGAGCGCGGAAGATGGGTCCGAATCTCCATGGTTTCGAATGTGAAGCGGGAACGCGTTCACGAGCAGCAGTTCAACCTCGAACCTGTTGCTTTCCGGACGTCCCGAGCCGAGCCTGATCATCCACTAGGATTAAGAGCAGCGGACATGCGCCATATGGAAACACTGACGAAATCTCCGCGTGCCGGCGCCGAGGGGAATTGCATTGGACCCTCGATTTGGGGAAATTACCCCGCCCAGAATGAATCTGGTCCTCGCGATGTTTTTGGGACCTGGTAAGCACAAGGAGTCCTCAACAGGCTCGAAAAATGCCTCCAAAGTATTCAGACAACAGTTTATGACTCGTACGACATGAGTCCGCTCCGCCATGAATTATGGACGGAATAAAGGATCCTACGCACGACGCAGGGCATCCTGGATGCAGTTCCTGTCCATAGTTTCCCGTGTCGTTGCCGTTGTCTCAGTTCGTACGCAGGAGCGCACTCGGAGCGGCGGCGCCGGCACTGTTCTCGATTCCTCGGCAATTCTCTCACAGACTGCCTTTCTCCCTCCCTAATGGTCTTTCATAATTGGCTCTGCTCGAGACGTGCTTAAGACACCTACCAAGAGAGCCAAACTTAGAGCATTGTTCTCCGCTGCCACCTCGCTTGTTTTGTCGCTCACCTATAAACAATCGGGCTGAATTCTCCCTTGACACTGACAGCGGTCTCTAATTCGATTGCTGCTGCTGCTGCTTCGACAAACTCACCGTATTTCGCCTGGGAGCCTTTCGGACTCTCCGCGGGCTTTGGACTTCTCCGATTCTCTTTGTTCCTCATCCAATGAGCTTTGCAAAGCTCAAAGGGGAAGCGAGAATATGATGGAGAATATCGGAAAATGAGATTTGTCTGAATCTTCGAAACCCTGGGAACGCATCGAGCAAGAGTGGTTCAAAGTTTCCGTGGATTCCGATAGTTAGCCCGTCACATGTGGAAATATTCTCGTCCCCATCGTCTCGAACCGCAAAATACATAAGGGCTCCGAAAGACGGAAACTCGACGACAAAAGAAAGGAAAATCGGGGGAGCGAGACGCTACGAGGGAAAAGTAACTTCGGGAGAAGGGATGCAGGACAGAGGAAAAGAAGGTGCTCCGCGATTCCTCGAGGACTGCGCGCAGGGTCTCCCGAGTATGGAGTCAATCTTCGATCGGCGAGAGCGAGATTCGAGAGCCATTGGAATTGGGAGGAAAACGTCCAAGGATTAAAAGGATGGGACCGAACGAATTACACCGAACGGAAGAACACGGAACCTCCCGGAACGAGTCGGCCCGCGGCCCGGTGAACAGAAACTTTCGGGGAGAATGACCACACTTTGTACTCGATAGCCTTGTTCTTTCCGAAAGATACGGCGCTTCCCACCTCTCCGGTGTTGTTCTTCCAAATATATGCAGGCGATAACGCTTTATCAACGAGTTCATAAATAGTCATTCGGATCGTGCATGGAGGCTCACCCCAGGACCGAGTCGGCGAATATTCAGAGAGAGGAACAAGGATGCGGCCTTGTTAGTAGAGGGCGTAGCTCGAGTCTCCTTAATGTTGCATCGGATGTGTCCAGATGAAATATTTCGAAAACATGGGGAAGGCTCTTCCCGCTCGATACTCCGGCTCGAAATTATTCATGATAATTATAATCGATTCTAAGCCTCCGGATTCTTCTCCTATTCCAGGCGATGAGCTGACAGCTCATTCAGGTACATGCACTCAGGGACTCGTTGAAGGAATTGGTGAAGCTGTGGCGGTGACGCCAGAAGAAAGCGCCGAGACGGCCGGAGGTGCCGAAGGTGGAGACGCTAGGAATTCGAGGACAGATTCTATAACCTCGGTCCCTCGGAGGAGCCGTGAAGGTCTTTGGAGGCGCACCGTGAGGAGGATGTTCCCGTACGGTTCGTGCATTTCTCAACAGTCGGCCCCGTCTCAAACCCATGCAACAGCCCCCGGAGGATCGTCGGCACCGCAAGCGAAGAAAGAATGGAAGATCAACAAAAACTCGCCCCAACTTGCCGTGAGCCTGCATAGGGATGAAACCACCGGGATTCAGACCATCAACATCCTCGACAAAGGTTAGTCGCTCCGGTTCGATTTTCTCGTATGGTGTGAATCTTCTGCGAACTATGAGCCACGGCGTTCACTCTTCGTCCGCGGTACGAAGTGATTGGGGGGACAGAGGCTCGGATAAGACTCCCCGATTCCCGATTGACGCGAGAGCCGGCGATGACGCGAGGACCGAAGCACGCGACATGAACTCTCGCGAGTGTCTGGCACCGTAGTCTCGACCCTTGTGCCCAACGCTTCACTCACGATCGAGAGATGTTTGAAAACTGTTTATATAACGTGTTTATGTGGCGGTCGGTCGTGAATGTGTTCGTCTGTCAAGAGCACACTCTATTGAGGCTCAATCCAGCTCAGCTTTCGTAGTGTTGGCCGCCGTCGTCGAAGGAAAAGTGTCGGCAAACCAGAATCAGAGAGGGACACCTCGTTATTGTGAAGAGGTCACTGAGTGGCCCCAGCTGCGTGTTCGCTCTCGACAAAACTGTGCCTCAGCGAGCAGCTATAACTCATCTCGCGTCGGAATACCTGTCGAGGTCCCTTCGAGACCAGAGCGGGCGCCGCCATCACATTCAACAACAACATCAACAAGAACGAGCAACATCCGACCGACCGACTGACGATTGTTCGACGGAATACACTGCCGCAACATCGCCGTCCCCATGACCAGGGTCAACTCTAGACATTGTTTCCGAAAGAAAATCGAAAAAGTCGCGATCTCTCGCTGACCGGAAGCGCGACGCGAGGAGCTTTCGAAGAATCGGTGCATCTAGAGGAGCCATGAATTTCATTTCCTTTAATCATCACGTACCCCGCGCTCGGGGTTCAGGATTTAGGCCATGGGCCTCAGAAGGGTTAACGTTCCCTTTAGCGGGTTCGTATTCGGTACTTGAGCGGCTGTGGAGAGCGCAAACCCACCCAGAACGGACTCTGAGAATGAACAGCGCTCCGATATTCACTCAGACCCGCGCTATCGAACTCGGTGCACCACGCGATTCTAGCGTCGGCTACGCGAACGGAGCGCTTATTAGGCGCGCACGCGAACTTTGTCGGAACCGCGAACTTTGTCTCCCGTTCGAGTAGTTCGCCCGTGGGGGAGCTGACTGTGAGTTTAATATTAGTCGAAGAAAACACGGAGACATTGTAAATCCTCTATAAGCCTGTTGTGTTATCTTTGTTGGATGACCCTGCGTCGCGTCACGAGGAGCAACTCCTGGAACTTCCGTCCAAGAATCTAGCCTGCCAGTCTGCCTGACTAACCGACTGATTGACCAGTCGCTGCTCGCTTGCTGCGGCTCGACCGGCCATCCGGACGGACGCCCGCCCGCCTGTCCGTCCGCTGGCAGGAGACTAGCGCTTGCCATCGGCGTTCAGCCCCACCGAGCGGCCGACAGGCTCCAAATAATCTCGACCAGCTTTTAGACCACCGGAAGAGCTCTATAAATTGGAGCGGACCACCGAGCAGCGTTAACGAGTCGACGACGAGGATTTACTCGGAATACCCTCCTTGTCGTAGTTGTCGTCGTCGTCGTCTTCGCTGATGTCGTTTCGAGAATCGAACGCTTGCTTAGGAAACTCCAGCGACGGGCTCAGCTCCCCCATGGCCGCCGCATTGACCACTGCGTGCGCGGTCGAGTCTGCGAGTCCCGCGACAATCGGTGCGGATTTCTTGCGAGATCCACACGAGATCGAGGAGCCGCAATGAGAGCGGATCTTCGAAGCATTCTTTTCAGTAGCGTCGCTCGTTCTATCTTTCGCGCGCTCGGGGCTCTGCGGGTGTCGTTGCTGCTGTTGGTCTCTCTGGCTCTGATGTCAGCAGCTTCTTCACTGTTTAGGAAATAGAGTGGAAAATATTCGGCTCTCATAAATAACCGCGACCATGGTGTGGCCAACCGCGGTGGGCTATGCGCGTCCGCCTGCTGGTACCCGCACCGCGCGTTGCCGCCGCCGCCGAACCGCGGTAATTCTGGTCGTGCCGCTGTCGGTGGACGTGGAGGCGTTGGTGTTGATTCAACTTGAGCAACATCGGTAAGATCGAAGAATAGAGCGAAAGACATCACCTACTATCGGGGAAGAACTCGGGACCAGCGGAAGTGTTTTTTCGCATGATCTGCTGACTTTCTCGGTTTGGGTTCAGAGTTTACGACGACGCAAAGCTGACCAGCAATCGCGAAGAGGGCACCGAAACACGGTCATAGCTCATGTTCCTATCGGAGAAGGCTCGCGTGCATCTGATCCGACATATTTATTACTTTCGAAACTGTCAGAATATACGCTCGTGGGCGGCGAACCGAGCCGCGAATAACAACGGCATCAACGGCGGCGGAAGCCAAACACTCGTATCGTATCTTCGAATCACATCGTAAATCGAAAGTTTCCTTTTTTCACCTTCAGTCTGTGATCTCCACTTCCGGACTCGAAATATGAAGCCATCGAAAGTGAACTCGTGCGCTTGATCGACCGTGCACCTCTGACATCATCCGAACGCAACAAGTAACTCATATTTGAGGGTATTTCTCCCGGGACGCGAGGCTCAGACGGGGAAAGGGAATTCTGCGGCGGAGATCCGATCGACCTGCGATTCGGGAATCGTGCCAGGTCAGGAAGTCCTGTGTTCTTCGATGGCATTATCTGGCAGACAGGATGGTGATGCCTCATCAGGGCGGATTTTGTCCAATTTTTCGAGAGAAGCCCCCCGACGGTTCCTGAGAGAGGTCTATCGCCAGAAGGCCCACGAGAACCCGACGAGAATCCGTTGAATCAGTAGTAGGACCTTCAACTATGGAACGTCCTGATATATTCAAATGTGAACGATGGGGCTCGGCCCCTGAAGTCACAGGAGCTGGGAACGTGGAACTTTTCCTCACGCCGAAGTCTCCGCGTCCCCTTACGTGCCCGGAGTTCCAGCTCAAGGTGAATTCCTTTCCCGTGGTGACGGAGACGATGGAGCACCCTCCCATAGGTGCTATTCCTGTTATTCTCTTTGGAAGTCAGCAAGTGCAACCAAGCAGCTTCCCCCAGCTCATTTCCTTCTTCGATCGACCACGCGAACGCATCCGAAATACATGAATGGAGATTTGTGACCTTCTCGGTCTGTACATCGATTCTATCCCGAACTCTGTCGGTGAAATAGATTCCGGGATAGAATCAGAGACGATAGCGATCGAGCTCAGTCTATGGGTTCCCTTTCGTTCGTTCATTCGTTCTCGGCCTCGACCTTGATTCCGGTGCTGGATCCTCTGTGCATGCCTGACGGAATGAGGCCGGACCCCTTTTTCCCGTCTGTGCTCGTCCAACAAAACATGATCAAAAGAGCGTCGTCGGAAGGAGGGATTATAAAGGTCGGGCTGAGCGAAGGAACAGCTAAGAGGTACTACAGAGAAACAACTGACATTCAGAAGCTCAGGGATGCCGGTGGCGGCGTCAGGCCAGCGAGTAGTTCGCCGGGGACATTACATACGCATTAAGCAGCATGCTCTCAGCGTTTACAAGGTGCCCGCATGTAGGGTTTATTTGACGCTTTTTCTTGCACCGTTGCTGTGCAGCAACGTCTTTCGGGCTGGGAGCGAACAGTTTCCTGCCCGGGCGGACGGTTTTTGCGCGAATTTCGCAAAACTCCAGGAGATCGCCGGCGCTCGGCAAGGGAAGTGGGCTCATCCCGATCTTCGTGCTATCTCCGATCGTGCAGGATGTAGGTCGGGACTCGAAAAAGGATGCAGGAGTTCAATTCGAAGACAAGAGATCTCGAAAGCGGATTGGGGCGCCTTAAGAGGCGACAGGAGAGGGTCCTCTGGAACAGAAGAGGCATCGACAAGAAACAGCTCCTGATGAGCGGAGTCGCTGGAATCCAAAGGAAGCAATAGAGGAATAAGAGGAATAAGACGGACCCGAGCGGTACCGCGCCAACAAGTCGGCAGGTGGAGAAAGTGCAAGAATCTAGGTTTGCTGGGACAAGGGGAGGGACCGAAGAGTGGCTACAGAACAGTTGGAGAAAGCACTGAGCATCTAAACATAGGCATGTAGCTCTAATTGGAACTCTTGTTTGATCTTCCACCTCCTGAACTCGCGAAGCCCGGAAGTGATCACGTCGCGTAAGACTGGTGTCTCGCGGATTCCAAAATCCGGATACTGTAACCGTTCATCCCTCGTTTCCTCATCCAATACGAATTTACCAACCGAACGCGCGACCGACTGAGTTACTGCCGAACTGACCAGCCAAGCAGCAAGAGAGAAGCCGGGCGAGCGTGCGAACGTCCATTCCACAAGCGCGGGAAAGGGGCTAGTTCGTGTTTCAGTTCGGCCTGACGTGGAGATGAAGGCAGGCGACACCCGCTGCTGTTCGAAAAGTGACACAATGCTGCTTGTGGACTTGACTCCGATGAAAAACCTTCTCCCGCGTCAGTGGAAATCGGGGGGAATGGAACGTCAAGCCCGCAAGCCGTTTAGAGGTTGGTGGACGAGACTTAAGCAGAGGACGTTGCGGGAGACTCGCCTCGGTAGCATTGTTCCCGCTCCGAACGTTTTGCCTTGTTGGAAATTTAGAGAGGTGGGCCCCTTAGCGTAATGCCCACAGTTGTTCGTGACCATCAAAAATACCGCTCTGTAGAGTTGTGTTAGTGTCGCGAATCGACGCACGAGTCGTAATGTGTTTCAGAATCAGCTCCGGGGAGCGTAGGAGCCTAGCGTCATTCTCTTAGTCGCCTCGTCGAAGGTCGAAGAAGTCTCGATATCGCGAGCAAGTTCTGATCCGCAACATTTATTCGTCTATTCATTTTCTATCTGATCCAGTTGCGTCTGTCTGACTCTGTTTAGTTGCTGTCGACGTGGTCATTCTCACTCTGTAGATAGAATCGGCACCCATACCATGCTCGAACGTATAGCCTTCGGGGTCCTCTTACGTCAGCTGCGAACACATACCTAAGACTTTGACGTACTCCACGTCAGCTCTACGTGGGGTACAACGACGCCGAATATTGAATTCTTCCATCCGTCGCCTTCCAGGTGTCTCAGCCACGCAGTCCTTGTCAACGTCCACGACGACCTATCCTGGTGGATTGGTGAAGAAGAAAAAACGAGAAAATGAGCAACAGCATACGCAAAAGGTCATCCAACGATCATTCGAAAAGTGGGAGATCGATCTCCTCGACGCGACGGCCACCAACAATCGACGGATCACCAGTCCGTTCCTGACACTGTTTCGGAAAAAATCGTCACGTCCCGTTCTACAACCTTGGGCCCATCTGATGGCGATCGTCGACAATTCCTACGACGGGGTCGCAAGAGTAAGTGCTTCGAATAGATGGAGTTCGGTCGTACAATTCAGGACATCTTCCGTGAGATCTGTCCTGACGTCGCGGCGTTTCGATTCAGGCTGTGGGCTCCAGGGGAAATTTCGTGGACGTCACAGATATTTCGTCAGGTGACGAGTCGGAGCGACGCCGGGAATCCAAAGCGCGGATGTTCGTTGACGAGCGTGGAGAACGATCGGGAGGATTTTCCGTCGGAATTTTGTTTTCTTTGCGTTCCGGAATCCACTACCCGCGTCTCGGAACGTGGCTTCGAGTTGAAAGCGATACGATGAGGAAGTACGCTGGAGACTTCATTCAGAGCGGAGCCAGTGGGCTGTGAGCCATTAAACTAACTTGCTTTCGTAAACACTTGACCGTCATCAGTTGGATGGATACCTACTGGGGCGTAAGAATACTACGATGAGCGCAAGCGGAGCGCAAGCAACGGAGGCTTTACTGAGCAGCTAAGCGCACCCGATCCCGTATAAAACGGGCTTAGAGCCAGCGCCGGCTGCGAGATAGCCGAGGTCCTTAGCCGGCCGGCGTTCCCACCGCCCGGCAAGCGGAACCGGCGGGTCAATCAGCCGACCGGACTATCGCGGACACTAAACCTTTCCGGAAGGAGAAGAAAAGACCTCCATATGAGCTCGGAGAGAATGGGAGTCTCGGAGGACACTCCGTGCACGAGGCTTGACGTCGGGTCCGTGTCCCCCTCGATCATCCTCTCATAGAGAGGGAGAGAGAGAGAGAGGGAGAAGGAAGAGGAAAAAACGAAGACAGAAAAACCTCGCGATTTTTCGTTGACTAGCTCGCGCGCGCATTAATGTTTCTTATCTCTCTCCTTGCAGTGCCTGTTATCTACAGTGAACAGCTGGTCTTTTAACACGTTTACCCTAGACACAACGACCTGCGGCCACTCGCTGCCGTTCATCATGGTACACTTGCTTGCCCAATACGATTTGCTGCGCACGTTCAACATTGAGCCGATAAAGTTATTCCGTTTCTTGAGCCTAGTCGAAGCAGGCTACCACGTGAGCAACCCTTACCACAATTCGGTGCACGCTGCCGATGTCACGCAAGCCATGCACTGTTTTCTTCGTGAGAAAGCCATACTTCAACATCTCTCACCCATCGAGGTGAGTCCGGCTTCAGTCTAAGCGTTCGTTCCAGGCAGAAGCGAAGTCGGAGTTCGGCCCAGGCAGAGGCGAAGTCGAAGAGGAATGATAAACTAGCGGACGGAACGGCTGAATGTGTAGCGTCGCGTCGCCCGAGAACAACGAGCGCATCGACTGACCTATGGTTTTTTTTTTGTCTCTTGAAGATCTTGTCCGCTCTCCTGGCGGCTGTCACTCACGACCTGGATCACCCCGGAGTGAATCAACAGTTCCTCATTGAAACCAAGAACCACCTAGCCACGCTATACAATAAGAGTAGTGTTCTAGAGAACCACCATTGGCGTTGTGCCATTGCCTGTCTTCAGGAGTCTGGCTGTCTCAGCCAGCTCGACGAGGAAAGCTGGAAAAAGGTTCATTCTGCCATCAAGAGCCTAATCTTAGCCACGGACATCACTAGGCAGCAGGAGTTCATACAAAGGTTCCAGGTAAGCTCCACGACGAGTATCGGTGATCATGTGGACGATTGCCGAACAGGTGGTCAGCTGAATGACGAGCCGTCAAAGTTCCCTGATAGCCGTCATCGCGACCGTTTCCGCCATGGAAGCTCAATGCCGCTGACCGATTCGAATTTTGCAGCGCTACATGGAGAGTGACTCATTGGACATGAATGATTACGACATTCGGCATTTTATTCTCCAAATTGCGCTCAAATGTGCAGATCTGTGCAACCCCTGCCGTCCTTGGGATATCAGCTTACAGTGGAGCATTCAGGTGTGCAAGGAGTTCTACCGACAAGGAGACTACGAACGTCGCCTCCGGCTACCCATCAGTGCGATCTGCGACCGATACAAGACGAGCATTCCAAAGATTCAAGTAGACTTCTCCAAATACGTCGCACACCCGCTCTTCGTACTGTGGCACCAGTTTCTCAACACCGACCTCTCCCGTGAGCTGCTGCTTCATCTCAAACTCAACTTCGCCCAGTGGGAGAAGCGACTTCAGAAAGCGACCATGCGAGGTTCTCTGGAAACCGATATCAACGCCCCGCTGGCATCGTCCGAGGAGGATCTTTCTGAACTTGGCGATGATTGTCCCGACCACGACGAGGACTCCCTTTGCTCCTTGAACAAGACGTCGATCGATGTCTCGTTGTTAGAGGCTACTTCCTTCACTGCCGGTGAGAGCGGATCAGGCGCTTGTTTTACTCCATATGAGGCTCTGATCATGGTTCGAATCCGTGCTCAAACCATAAAAGTGCGTTCGCCCGCGAAAGACGCCGGAAATAATGCCCGAACCTTATCCTTGATTTTTCCCCCATCGGTTGCAGGAACGTGGGGCCGTCGACATTCGATGCCCCTACAGCTGTCGAAATACTTGCCTAAACCCATGATCCTCCGACGTCGAAGGCAGAGTCTACCTAACAGAAACCCATCACATCGCTGGTCTGTTGTGGCCAGTCCACAGGGCAGAAGGGGTTCTGACTCTGCTCTCGGCCAAGCAGGTTTTTCCTCCACACCTTCCGGTGCAGATAACGGAACCGGCGTTGATGATGATAGACTACGGCCACATCAGCGTCCCCACCATCACGCAGCTGATCCCAACAGGTGAGGGTCTTCCCGTTTTTCCCAATATCGGAGTCTCAGACAAATTCGATGTCGCTCAGTGAGAGGGCGGTCGTTTCGTCCGTCCGTGAAGCCGGAGCTCCTTCGTCTTCATTGAGCGAATCCGCACGGCTCGCGAAGGCGATAGAAACCGTCGAGCCCGCGAGCTCGGGGGATCGCAGTCATCAAATCGCAGCGGCGAACACTCAGCGGCTCCGCAATCGAAATCCGAGCTCCCTTGAACCAGCTACGCAGCAGGCAATAGCGCTCGATGCCACAAAGGCAATTCCAAACCAGATACGGTTTCCGTCTACCGCAGAAAAGTTCTCGTGTTTTGATTTCGGCCTACCGAATGAAAATACGTTCGCACAACAACGCTGTTAGAAATGAATCAACGTGCGTGGTCGAGTGAAGGATTTGTCGGAACAACCACGAGCGTAGTTCCGCGAGGAGCGCTACGACAATAATTTTTTACTATCTCTGACGTACTCTTACTACCGGGCTAACCGAAAATTTCTCGGAAACCCACCCAAGTAATTCCTCCCGCTCGTCGTCACCGGCGATCCCTTTCAAGTGCTCGGGCGGGCTATTAATAGAACGTGTTTTTCCATCTTAGGCGACGATCGGAGAGTTTTCTGGACGATGAAGACGAGCTCAACGCCGTCCTCCGGCGCAGCGAGGAAACTCCCAACCTTTTCCTAGACGTACCCTCAGATCGAACACCTACAGATGCCCGAGGAAACTCCTACAGCAGCGATGCGAGCTCGTGCTGTAGTGACGGCGTACATTGCGGTACGCCGCCACTCAACGACACCGACTCCAATGACCGCCTATGCCCGGACGGTACGTACCTATAAGTCTATCTCGATTCTGCTCGAGCGAACCGTGACGATAATGATGATCGGTACGATCGCTGCTAATAATTTCTATTCGCTTCCGTAGGGATGCATTGTGACGATGATCTTGCCCCCACTGCCTGGTCGCACAGGCTTTCCGAAGTTGTTGAAGAACCATCCTCACCGCCCGCGAACCGGATGCTCAACCGACGCTCGTCTGCACCTATCGTTTTGGCGCTTGTTTCTAGTTCATCGAGTTCTTCGAATTCCGCTGCTTCGTCGCGCCGTCAAAGTGGCGATACTCGACGAGGTTCATTGCCCGTCGACGTCCACCTTATGGCGGCCCAACTGCTCAACAAGCAGGTTGCCCAGGTCGCTATCCCAGAAGTTCCACTCGCGTCAACTCGGAGGGGATCTTGTCCCGTAGGACTGTCTGCCAAATACACGAGTGACTGACGTTACGAAACTTTTCTACTGTAGAGACGAGGGGGCTACCGCGGTATGCAGCCAGTTGCGTGTATGACGCAAAAAAACGGTTATAAATAAGATGATGATTCAGATGATCATTTATAAATAGGATATACATACATAGCGAGAAGCAAACGAGGAAACAAGCATGCAGACAACAAAGCAGATGAAGCTATCTGAAAATCTATGTGACGACGAGCAACGTCTGTGCGTGTTTGTGCGTCCTGGAAAATGAGTACGCGTCATGCCCTATAAGCCTGCCTGCCCGCTCGTCTGTCTGTCTCTTTGCGTGCGTGCGTGCCTGTGTGTCTGCGTGCGTGTAAGTCTGCCCAACTGTGACAATTTCTAGGGTGCATGCCGTGCTTGATGGCGAATGAGTGAAGAACGAGTGGATGAGTGATCATTCGACAGTACAATCGGCGTCACGCGAGTTTACCGAATCAGGCAAAGTGCAATCCGCATGATGGAAGCAACGATCGAAGTTCTAGAATCAATCGGTATGAGCCGAATGAGTCGTCACGAGCATGACTGAACCAATGACTTGGCGAAGACCAGATTTATCCGGCCAATCTTCAATGTTTCGAAGCCTAACCAAAAGTGGGACTGTTTTCCTAAAGATGAGCCCATGGCATAACTCATTATTCATCTCTCCCGAGCGCAACGGTGGATTGACCCATACATGAATCGTGTGAATGCTCATGGTTCATAGCTGACATTTCATGCATACCTACATACATCCATTCATCCATACATAAATGCATCTATATATATATATTATATATATATTCATGAAGACACGATATTCACTGCTGCTGTAACGGATGCGCATCCAGGCAACATGAGTGACTGATGAATGCATCGTTGAATATGGTGACAATCTTTTATACGTTCACCACTGCGAAATCCATTTATCGATAGAGCGCGAGACCGAACCTTATCGGTCTCGTGCCCTAACTTTGGCTTGACGCAATCGTAATCCCCTTTTCTACATGAATCGTTTTCGGTATTTCATTTCTCGAGGTGAAACCAACCGATGCTGCCCGTTTCTCGCGCTTCTCCGAGGCCGTCAGATTAGTTCCTTAGAACCGCGAGAAACGGACCGCATCGTGTCTTTGTGATTCCGATCGCTGATTACGGAGCGCGTGAATCGGTGGATTACAGAAAGTCCCGGCGAGGCGGCGAATTTTTTCTTCCGGGTTAAAGGCTGGTTCGTTTTCGATCATTTATCCAACACTGCCCTCCTACACTCCAGCTAGATGGAAATGAAATCGGCTGACTCAATCGACGAGTTGTTGCTGTCGCCTGCTGGTCCACGTCGTTACGAAGTCCTTCTTTATCTGCCTGGCTGCCTGTGTGGAACTATCACTCTGTGTCCGACGAAAGTACTTTTATTCGACGGCAGCTATTGATCTGCATTACTCCCGACCCGTGCGATCTGTGCATTCGCCCAGGCTGTCGTCGTGTCCAATAAATTACCCGCTCCCACAGTCGAGTTCATCGTGGATGATCATGGTCATGGAGGTCGTGAGAACATCGTCATCAACTATTTTGCCAAAAATACGCACTTCACTGGACCAAATCGTGGAATACTTCAGCCTGCAGCTGTGTAAGCTAGCTCTGTCGACTTCCTTCCTTGTCGGTACATTAATATGTTTCTCGAGTTTCGGTAAAAATCCGATTGTTCTACCGGCTCGAGAGCAGCTCAATTCCTGGAGAGTCGAGTCTGATTTCGGTCTGGCTTATCTGATGCATCTTGATTGTCAAAAATTGTGTTCGGTTGGCGGCGAATTCTGCAGCTCTTTGTATACGAGAAGTCTTTCGAGAAATCCAGTGAGTCCCTCAAGCTAGAAATAAACTCCGGACGACTTGTGTGTCAATCGCCAACGATCCCAGCGCATTAATCGAAGCGCGGTTCCTCGTAGATCTCCTCCTGTCTGCGAAGTTTCCAGAGTCGCCCTCGTTCAAGCAATTGAGAGCCGAACACAATTCTCGCCGTTGAACCGCCGTGGATCCCTTCCGATGGGTTCTTCTTCTGCTCTTTTGAGATGAGGGGCTGTGTTCTCTCCTAGTCTATGCCGGCGAAGATTTGTGGACTTGACGATTTCCTCCCCTTCGAGCTCTCGATCTCTGATCGGTTGAACAGTTGGTACCGAGCTCGCTTCTTGAGCGCTCAGTTCCGTATACCTATGCAGCTTGCGATGTCTCGGTAAGTGGCAGCAACAGCTTCGGCAGAATCAGAGATCAAACACAAAGCAGCTCTCCATTGATCCCGATGCTGTAAAATTTCCTCTACATTAATGCCACAGATGACAGCAGCAATTCCAATGATTGTCGTAGCCACACAACCACGGCTCGGGCCGTGATTGTGTGGTTATGCTGCCGCCTCAGATATTCGAGAAATAGTGATGGAACAATGTTGATGATGAGAACAATAACAACAACAATAATAATAATTCTGATGATGATGATAATGATAAGCGTTCAGAACGTTCTTCATGAATAATCACGAGATAACTCTGCGCGTGTGAGAAAGGCACTTAGGTGTGAGCGTGATCTTGATTGTTTGAAGCGGAATCTAGCGACCATGGGCGGGGAGAACGTGAATGACGAGAGTGATCGTAATGAGGTGTCTCATTTGGTGAGCAAGCGAAACATTCATTAGGAATGCGGAGAGCAGAATCCGACAACAAGTCAAGGTACCCTTCAAGTGTCTGACAAGGAATACAAGAGAAGTAGTTTGAGATACGGGAGCAAGAGAGCGAGCAGCACGGAAAGAAGAAACAATCTACGATGCAAACTGAGATAGTGGTCGCTCGATCCGTTGGGAGGATTCGGTTTCAAGCAAAGGAAATCGTTGTACGAGAAGAGGAGCCGATTGAATGTTGCAGGTTCACGATGCTGATTGATGTTTGTCATTCGACGGGATCCCGCGGCCGAAAATAGAGAGAGACATTCTCAAAATTTCGGTCCATCTGGTTCTCGAACGACTATTTTACTAGTATTTATCGAAATTCTGGGTCTTCAAATGGTCTAATGGACAGCAACGTTGTATTTTCGAAATCACGACCGACGTTGTCCATCATAGGCATGCGAGATGAGGCCGATTGATCGCTGCATCATTTGATTGTTGGATTGGCTGATTGGGTCTCGATGAGTAGACGGATGATTATATCTATCGATGTAGATCTTTCCATTCTTCCAGCGGGCCGGCCGATGCACGAGAACAGTGTAAATATTTGATACTCACAGGATAATATCCAATAAAGATCATTACACGGAGCTAGTTTCTTCACATCTTCTTACTCTACATTTAATTTATTATTAAAATATTCTTGTCGACGATTCTGAGCAGTCGATCATTGAGGGGCCGCCGTCGTGGGGAGTCGAAGATGTTTCAGCTTCCGATAGTAACCCGTTCCCGGCTCACTGATCGAGACGACGTTGAGCTCAACTCGGTCTAGCTGGACCATCCCGAACCGGAAGTCACCGAAGTTCTAGAAAGGGCGGAGCATGCTCGATCAATAATTCCAAAGGTTCAATAAGTCAATCCTAGGAGTCTGCGGACGCTAAAGTACACGAACCTTCAAGATGTTTGTGGCGTCAAAAGGTGACGATTTCCTTTCCTGCTTGCTGCCTACCGACCGCTGGTTCAAGCTCTGGCTCGGGTCGTCCACAGCAGTTGGGTCCTCAGAAAACTTCGAATTGATGAGGGTCATATGGAGTTTGAGTTTCTCCCTGCTGGACGCGAGCTTATTCCTCAAGAAGCCCGATTGCCGGAATCGTTCTACGATCGAATCGCACAGGATCTGCAACCTGAACTCGTCACGTTACGCATGGTTCAAGCGTTGCTTCGGAAATGTATAAACTCTGACAAGGACGCCGAAGGGGCTTCGTTCTCCGAAAGGGTGGGAGCTTTCTGCTGATGCTCATTCAGTCGGGCGAGAAGAACGTCTCACCTGCCTGCATCGCTGCGATCTTGCTCGAATACTTTCGCGTATAGAACATTGACTTCAGAGGGTTCATCGTTCATTATTTCCAGACCACGGACCTGAGAAATGAGTACTTATCGTATTGATGACTCGCCTCGTCACGTCAAGTATTGCACGGGAGAACTATTCTGCGACCGACCTCGATGTTGAATGGTTCGTTGCCGAGAGATCCTTTGATGAGTTCATCACATGTCTGGAGTATTTCAATCGCTTGGGCTTCCTCATTCTTGTCGAAAAGACACAGACAGCAGACCGTCAGATGGAGTTTTCGCTCTTTTATGAACATTCTGTCCATGATTCCGGGACCCGCGAACGATGAAGATGACTGTAAGAGAGGTTTGGAGATAGGTGATTTTGATCGCTGCGATCATGCCCCATATGGAAGAGAAAAATCGAAACCCCAGGGCGGTTGGATCTCGCGTTCCCACCTGGAGAACGAGATGTTTGAAATCAGCCAGGCTTCTCTGCACTTCCGGATATGTCAGCGGGATCGAAATGAAATGCGTGAACGAGTCCTTCGAACGTAAACTCAAAACCAGATTCTGTATTTTCTCCACGCACAACTGGACGTCGTTCTCGTCGTTGCCTGAAACAACTGGGAGGAGATTCGAACCTTAGCACCGTCCCAGCGGCTTTTCTTTGAGGAAAATTCATGGATTACAGGTTGGGGTTCGGGACTCACCCACGTCACCCGATTCACCCTTCTTAGGGATCTCGATCTTCGTGTGTGTCAAGTTTTCCCATTCTTTGCGCCGACTGTGCTGCGATCCGCATATTCGCGCCAAATAGCGATCGGGGACATGGATAGACTCGCTGAACGCTTCCTGGCCACCACCCTGTGCATCTCTGCGTGATCCACAAGATTCCTCTTCGTCGTAGTCGTCGAACGCGTCGTCAGTCTCTCCAGAGCGTCCTGTCGAAGGAAAAGGAGAAATCAGCTAACTCCGATGGCAGAGAATAGAATTTCCATCACAGCAGAGCATACGCGCCCGCGACTTCTCGCCGATCAATAAGTCGAACGAGAGTCTCGGCATTCTGGATTCAGAATCCATTGGACATTCTTACTGGATTTTCCCGAAACTTGATCTTTTCGACGAGCTTCCACCACGACCTTCGGATGCACCCTGTAGCAAACGCCGTCCACCCACTTCAGATCGTATCGGAGGGGGTCCGCCCCACATGAAGCCATTTGCTCTCGAAAGGTAGTGCCCACCTGTGCCATTATGGAGATATTCAGAGTCGAGCCCCTCAACTTCTCGCCACTCACTCCCGATCACCCCGTGAGTCAATGGAGAACTTCATCTCTGAAGCGACGGTTGAGATACCGGCCCTCGAAACCCTTCCGTCATCGTTTCGGAAGGAGCTATCGTTGAGGAGGATTTCATTGTTAGAGAGTGACAATGTTCGGGAGACTTTTTTCCGATGTACACACTGTGCTTCCCGAAGAAAAACCAAAGGCTCAATCCAGAGAGGAAAATGTATTTAGCCGGAATCCCGAAATTCTTTCAAGACTGTCTGGACCAGCCGGGGAATGTTGATGACAAATGAGCAATATCATCCTACTCGAGGATACCCCGTCAAGGAGGACACTCAGCGAGAAGTGCCCATTCAAATTTTGGCGCCATTTGTTTTGGTCGGCTCGCCATGTCGCGTTGTGTTCGACTACTAGGCTGTGGCCTGAGTCTCATCTGGAAGCCGAAGGCGCCCGATTGTTGGATGGAATAAACGGCCAGACGGAAATATAGACGTGATCAGAGCTCGACCTCATTGAGAGATTCGGTGAGTGTTCCGGGAAACTGTTCCCAGCTGCTTCGCTGGAGAGGATTTGAGCTCAGAGATTCCCTATGCAACATGTGCTCGACAATGTCGTCGTCAAGAATGACTTTCTCACATTCAATTCCAATCACGAAACCGCGACCGAGCGTTCGACCCCGGACGACGGAACTAATGGAACGTCTTTCTGTCGTGAACTGCTCCGAAGTCGAGTAGTTTCGTAATGAAGTGGTTTTGGATTTGGTGGTTTCCGTTTCAACTCGCCGCGGCGTAATCGAACACGGTGTAGAAGGATCAGGCGATCAGCGATTGGCTCTCGACGAACGACCCATCGAACAGAAGATGTCCCATCGCGAATCCCTCCTCCCGACGATCCTATCCTCGTATTGCTTTCGCTCAATCGCTGCCGTCATCGGGGCTCCTCACAAAATGTCTAGGCCCGCGTGTGGTCCTCGAGGAGCGGGCTGAGGCGCGATTTTCAATTTTTCCTATGGCGACTCTGATTGGGAATCTCTCAGAGCTTCTTGTTTCAAAGGAGAGGAGACTTGCGAAACATCAGTAGTATGGGATCGATCTCTTAGAGCTCTCGATAAGCGGTCCAGGTGGAGGGTGGAATTTCGTGATCAGACCGCGTTCTTCAGACCGAATTGTATAACTCAGACCGTTGGGAGAGTAGTGTGGGCAGAAAACGGCACCGCGACGTACCGGCCGAAAGCGATGCCTCCGAAACTTTTCCGTAGGAGTTCCCATGAGTCTCATGGCGATCGCATCGCTAAAAACCGCTGCAAGGTAGTCCTCGAGGAAGATCCGTGGAATTCATGCGGAGAGAAGACCCTTCACCGATGACCTCTCCGAAACGTGCATGGGAGAAATCAATAGACCGGGATGACGATCAGATGAAGGGGGACTCATATCGAGAATGGAAAGGAATGCGGTCTTCTTATTAAGCGCATGTCGTAGATGATGACCACCATCCACTTGGTCGAGATATCACGCTGAAACCACGACTCGAACAGAGTCGCGAGTTATCGGGACCATTTGACAATTTCATTCGGATTCGCTCCACGAGGGAAGAGCACTATATCGGAAGACTTTGAAAATCGGTCGGAGTGAGCCGTATCATTACCGGCTTCAAGATTCTCAGGTGAAGCGAAAGTGCGAGAAGTCGCTTGGCGTCACTTGTGTGCAGGTTCAGAGCTCTTATTTAGCTTTGGACCAAAGACGACTTATTCGCGAAACCTACAGCCGAATCGAGATGGTTGGTTGTCCCTATCCCTGAAGTGTCCGCTGATCTCTATTACAGGGCGCTTAGGTGGTGGGAAAGAATCAGGCGCGCCCGATCGCTCTAAGAGTCCGGAGCTATGGCGAACAACGGGGTGGAATACATTTATGTCAATCAGGTTTTTCGATTGGAATCAAAAATTCAATTCAATTCAATCCATTGCTCGATCATATGCATCGAGATTCATGGAAAAATCATTTCGCATATTCCGCGAGACCCGCTCAACGATTTCCGGTCCCATTTAAGGTCGTGCCCGAGAGCGAGCTCCAGGTCTGTCGAGATGCGAACGGTCGACTTCTAGCCTTCTACAAAGATGCCGACGGAATCGAAAAACAAATCGGGCAAGAGATCGACGAGGAGCACTACATCGATGCTCCAGAACCTGAGGCGGAGGATCACTACATATCTGTGAGTGGAATTTTCGTTAGCGGGAGATGATTATCGCTCGAATTCGGGGATAGAATGTGGTGGCTCGCCAGAGAGCGTGCGGTGAATACGGTGGAAGACTCAGTCCGCTTCAATTATGAAGGGAGAACCCCCGGTCGAGTTCAGCGCTGAAGATTTGCCGGACAACATGGAAGTTCTTCAATCAACGGACGGAGTCGGTGGAGATATGAAGTTCGTCATGGTCAATCAGCAAGAGGTGTTCGTGGTTAAAAACAACCAACCTCAAACGCAGAAGTAAGGCAGCGACGGCTCACGAATTGCACGAGCCTTTGGTTTCCGCCTCTATATCGTATTCAGATGTCTCGTTCATGTTCTGCTTTGAATGATTCTGACAAACGTCCAATCGTAAAATGACCGTAATTCGCTGCAGGACCTTTCGACTCTTCAAGCCGAGAAGGCGCGTGACGCCTCAGTCAGTGAAAAAGGGTCCGAAACTCATTCAAGATTTCCTCTTGCCTCATCTGGACAATGAAACCTTCGGCAATCGGCTCGTATGGGTTAGTGATCGCAACGCATACATCATATCTTCTCTAGACGACTATCAGAGAGCTCGGACTACATCTTCAGCCATTTCCACCGTGGATTTATATCGCCTCCGTTCCCCATAGGTCAACCGGGAACTTGGAACTTTCGCCATGAGCTGGTCGCACAAGAACGGAGCCGATTGGCGCGCGGATGACTGTGTCGTGTTCCGTGAATGGGATCTCCTGAAGGAACGGAAAATCCAAGAAACACCTCACTACTGGATGGAAGCGAAACAGAGATTCAGAGCGGCGCTAGCGAAAGTCTCGGTCAGTTGTAAGAGTGAGCTGGAGGAGCACAAGTCGTCAAAGGTGAGCCACCAGCTTCTCTGAAGGCAGAGATCCTAAGAATTCTGACTGGGCGAAGGTTGATGAAGGAATTCTGACGAAGGGCGCCGCTCGTCCAGGTATTCCAGATCAAGTGGACTCGCGAAACTCGACCGCAAATATTAGAGAAGATCTACACGACGTCGAAGTACTTCAAAATGCCTCCGCGCATGAGTTTAGCTCGGTCAGATCAGCCTGCGGTGGCTGATTTCTCTCTGGATCAGGACTACGCACAGGAAGAAGTCGTTTCGCCGGATCACACGATGTCTATCGAGGACGACATGCAGATCGAAATCGTGACAGCAGAGGATTTCCAAGAGGTATGGGGAATCGGTAGGAGATGATAGTATGATCGTCGATTGTTCCGGCGAAGTGAGGAATGGAATCCGGGGAAGCATTTATCTCAACCCGGTCTATTTCCAGGAGCAGTTCATCGTGGAAGGCCATTCGGCAGAAGCCGAGCAGCCAGAGGAGATTGTCGAAGTAGTTGAACAACACGACGCAGCTCAGCAGGCGGCCGCCGCAGTCCTATCGTCCCGCTTCTTCACGGACCGTCGCAAACGAGCACGCAAACTCACGATACGTGCCGAAGCTCTGTCACCGGTGGAGAAAATCCTTCGCCGTGCTCGCAGAAGCCATTCCAAAATTTACACAGTGTGTCCGATCTGCCAGTACTTGACTGCGAATTACGCGGTCTTCCTTCGGCACCTCATGCTCCATCGTGACGATGTCGGTTACACGTGTCTCCATTGTCCCAGAGCCTTCCGACTCCCCGAGTTATTCATCGATCACTTGCGAGTCCATCACAACGCACCTCCGCATATGTGTTTCTTGGCGAATATCGAGGAGACTTCGCGGACAAAGCTCAGACGGGCCGAGTTTCGTTTGATTCATCAGAATCTGAAAACGTGCGGGGTCTGCGCGGAGCATTGCAGGACTCAATGCGATCTCGAGAAACACGTCGTCGAACTCCACGGTAAAACTCAGCTGAGGGAGGTTCGGAAGTGTGCTCTGAATAGGAGAAGTCCGCTCAGAATGCGATTGAAATATCTAGCCATAAGGCGTAAACCGCGACATAAGATCTGTAATGACGAGAACCAAACGTCGATGGTCGTGTGCGACGGGAAACTCCTCATCGAGGAGGTGCCTTTAGACTGGAACATACTGAATGAAAATCAATGTTGAGCCAGAGACATCTCCGACTGTAAGGAATTCTTCCCCCCTCGGCCGCCCTCAGACTGAGATTGGATATCCTGCAGGGGAAATGCGAACTGTGAGCCGTCAGAAGATTCGGAGACTTGTACATATATTTTTTTGTGTATATTCTAGCTTGGCGATGTCACTGTACAGACTCTCAAGTGTGAGAAATAAATGCCAGCAATCTGAGCAAGCATCGAGCTCATTGGTGGTCTCGCGGATACGAATACCGAAGTTGTGGAGCTCGAGTCTTCGCACGGAATCGGGAGTCGTAGAATCACAGGGAATTCTTTCATTCTCTTCTTGCTCGAGAATCGCTCCGCAATGGTAACACGATGTCCGTGATCTATCCATGACTATCAGAGATGGACGGGGCTCATGGTAAAACGAGCTCTATCTTTTTCCTTCGATGAGCAATTAGGAGACATATCATTTTTCATTCCGGGGATTTCCCCATCCCCGATATCGAGAATCGCCGGTTCCTGAGGGGAACCTCCCGAAAATAGCGCCCTGAGTTCGAGAGTATGACGGACAACAGGCTCTGACAATGCCGGAGGATCGGATGGAAACCCCGAGTCGATGGATGGCATATCCCGCAGATCCCGCCCGGACTTCTTTCAGGATTTAGAATCAAGATCGTCGACATCAGCTCATGATCTGGGAAACGCAATGTCTCATGAACGACGTCAGGCATATACGCCGTCGAGCCTGCTCCCCGCCTCCTGCCTCCCACCGTCGCTAGAGAAATTTTTCTACCAAGATAATATCTGGCCTTTACGGAACGGTCGAGGGAGAGCGCAATCGTATCCTATAGGTCGGAGATTTATTGAGATGCGAAGAGTCAAAGCGGAAGTCTCTCCTTTGCGGCCCTCGGATCGAGATTTGGCGGTATGCATACAATCATCAAATCAACCTATCGAGTCGCAGCATTTTTTTCCATCCGATTCTTTGCAGTGAAGTTACGTGGTCCAAACCCACTTTCTCTGCTTGCAACATCATAGATCCGACGCGCTTGCCAAGCTGATTGAATGTATTGTTCGCAATTCCGAGCGCAGAGCGACTCTGTTCAAGCTGACGCTCGCACTCCTCAAGCGCCTTGGAGAGCGATTCATTTTCGAGCTTCGCCGCTGTAAGCTGCTCCTCGAGGCTCCGGATCGTTTGATGAAACTCGTCAAAGAGGTCGCCCGCTGTCGAGATTCGGAGCGGGGCCACCGTCGCCTCTCTGTCAAGCTCAGCCCGAAGTGCAGCAGCCTCATTTTCTTGCTCCAATGATCCCTGGAGAGAGAACTCCTCTTCTCTCTCGGCCTGTAGTAGCTCCAGAGCTGCTAACATGCGCTTCTCGTAAGAATCTGCGGATTTCGGATATAATAACGTGTCTTAGCGAGTTTGTCAGGTTTCCTCTTTCGATCACCCTTTTCAAGAAAATCGAGTACGGATCATTCATTTTTCTCGAGACATCCCCTGTCAGTTAAGCTCCCTCGAACCGTGGAGTTTGATGAACCGAGTTCTCGGAGGTACAGTACCTGATTCCAAGGGTACAATGGTGCCTGATTCGCTATAGTCTGATCATATGACCTCCGTGATCATGATATAAGAAGGTGTTACCCGGAGCCGGGCAAACGAGACTCACCCTTCTCATCCGTGATTTCTACAAGTTGGCGGTTCAGTGATTCGACTTCCTCAGCGAGCCGTCTGGCTTCGTATTCCAAGGCATCGGACTTCGATTGGCTCTGTCTGAGTTTCGAAACTTGCTGCTGGAGTGCGATGTTCTCCTTCTCCAGCTCGTTATTCTCGTTTATCAGCTGTTCCTGTTTAATCTTGAGGTCTCTGAGCTCGCAGCGAAGACCTTTGTTCGCTGATCCGAGAGTTTCTTTGGAGTCTCTCAGTTTCGAAGTTCCCGCAATCATCCGGTCTCTCTCCGCCGTGACTCTCCGCAACTCCTGCCTGGCATGCACGAGGTCTCTCTCTAAGTTCTGAAGACTGAAGCCCAGCGAAGCCTCTCTCTCAGCCGACTCCTGCAGAAGCGAAACCTCCTGCTCTATGCCTGTCGAAACTGAAATCCTCTGATGGGTGTGAGCTTTCCTCAAAGCCTGGAAATATTCGAAGAAGGAGAAATATCATTACATATACGCATTTTAGCTCTTGGACTTGGGGATTTAACCCGTTCGCTCTCCGCCGAGCGCAGAGCATGAGCGCTCTCGGGAAGACCATTCCTTTACGCTTGGAATCGATGATTGAGGGTTCATTCGAGCTCGGTAAGACATCAATAGAGGAATGGAATCTTCAGGAAGCGAATCGATAGCGGGGTCTCACAGATGCAAAGCGCAAAAATTACCTCTCTCAAAATCGACAGTTCAGTCCTCGCTTCGTCATATGATGCTTCGAGCTCCTCACAACGTCGCGTGAGTTCCGTGTTTTCGTTCAAGAGAAGCAATCCCAGCCTGGCACTTTGGATTTTCTCCTGATTCGCTTGTTCGAGCTCAAAACAGAGACGGCTGAACTCCGAGCTTTGAACATCTGTGTTCATTTTAGACGAGAAATTTCATCCACGGTCCTCAGACGAAATGAAATACGTGATCATGCATCCCAGTTTTATCCGCCAGGTCAAAGCGCCCTCATCAAAAGGAGGGAAAGTAGGTACATAAAGCATATCGAGATCGGTTCTGATTAAGATTCCGGACTGCGGGATGCCGCAGTCTCCCCTCGATATCTCCGACGTGAACTCTGCGTCCGCTGAGAGCAGATTTCGGCACGTCGGAAGCTCGATCCGCTGTTCCACGAAAGATCCATCGGAGATTTGAAGGCGATGTCACGCGGCCTCAGCCTTTGCATAACGCTGTTTCCGAGCATCACGCTCCGATTTCGAATGAACCGAACGACAATAAATAAATAAATGATAAATGGAATAATATATACGTTGGTGAGCGCTGTGAACTTTCCGCGGCAGTTCGCGGCCTCCATTGAGGGGAAGCGCCGCAGTGAGGCTCGGTGAGTCGGGAAATTGCGGTTCGCGTGCTTTTCCACGCGAACAAACTTCGTCGTGGGGCAAATAGAATAAGCGACTTGTCGAATTATGTGCTCCGATCCATAACCTCAGCTGAGGTTGTGAAAGCTGAAACATCGTCGCCCGTACCTCCGAGATCAGATACGATCTGCAGCAAATGATAGAAAGGAAGAGTAAGTTTCCATTTTCGAAGCTTTATTCGTACACAGGTCATTTCCTTCATCGCGATCTCTACACGCCCTCAGCAACTCCAGCTGCTCTTCAGGACGCCGTGCCGTCGGCATCAAAGATCAGATCAGATTTCTTCTTCGAGTCTGAATATTGCGGTGCAGTCGGAGAGGGTCTCGCGAGAGCTCAGAGTTCTGGTATCTACAGCGGCGAGACGTCGATCGAGTCGAAAAGGATGTCACGAATCATTTCAAAGTTTTGAAGGGAGTGAAGTAAGGAGCCACGATGGATTTCGGATACGGTTTCGTGGCCAGAGCCGTCACAATGCCCTCCGGTTGTTCGATCCACAGCTTGTGGTCGATGACACCCTGTAGACGAGTCTGAAGCTCCAGGAGAGCGCTTTCGCTTTCGCCGCCAAGAATCACCTGGAATATAGGCCTTGTCGGACTAAAGATCCCTTAGTTCTGAATTAGGAGGGATCCAAGGTTCACGACTCTCATTGGGGCAGCTGTTCCCGACAGATTCCGAATGCCGTCAGGATCCTGCCTGGTAACGTTGAACTTACGGTCGTCATATTGTCTACATCACTGAGGTACTCCTTGACGTGTGTATCGTCTCTGAACATGTGAAGAACTGCGTTGGAAGCATGGCATGCCTGGAGCAAATGAAAAAGCCCGATGATTTCGCGCCGCAGGCAAATCTTCACGAGTTCGTGAATTCAGCTGATTCGATTCCCGCCAACTCCATTCCGAAAGTCCTGCTGCTCCTCACCTGGGCCATGACGGCACCCTTCGGCCACTTGAGCTTGGTGAAAAGGTCTGAACGCACTAAAATGTACTGTACGATCCTCTCAGCGGATTTCACTGTTTCCTTGCTCATTCTCGACGATCCTTTATCGAACAGGGCAATCGATGGAACTCGTTGGGACTTTCATCCACCGTTCTCGACGCTCGTCCACCTGATGCGCTCGAAACCGCTACAAGAAAATTCGAACGTCTACTGAGAACAGCTGTTTTTCCGGGTAGCGTACCGAGAGCATCCGGTAACGTTCAGCCCGAAATGAACTTTGAATGGATGGCGCAGTCGAGCTGCATGGTGTCACACTTTGTTGAACAGATTTTGAACAACCTCCGACATGGCTGGCTTCACATTGAGGGTGATCTCTCGATGAGATGCGCGGCTCTGGTCCACGCGAGCGAGGCTTCTATGGCAAGGTTCACTGCACATAAGAGCGACATGATCGCTCAATTGGTCCGGTTTTCTTCCCCGGGAAAAATGCCAGCGACGCTGAAGATATGTCCTACCCTATTCCACCACCGGGAGAGGATCAATTCGTTTCGGGAAGTTTATTTATTGCGGTCGCAAGACGCGAGGATATTAACGGCTCCTCGCTTCCACAGGGACAGCACAGCGATGGATTCCCATTCCTAAGGTGTAGGATTCTGATTCATTCAGGACGAGGATTTTCCCGAAAGGAGGGAATCATTCTTCCTCTGACTGGTAGTTTTCACCTTCGGATCCCAGCTCGGAATGCGTTTCCGTGAATCGATGATTAATTCTTCCACCTACAGCCGTCGAAGCCGGTGGCGTGCTTCGTCGAGGAATTTGATGAGGAGGTAGCGAGGGAAGAGCATCTTCGACCGAATGCTCACACGTCGAACGCTCGTGAGTCCTCTGCCGAGGATCGAAGCCTCGTAGGCTCACATCGAGCTGCACCTCGGTCGGGATTTCTCTTCCATCGGTGCCCTCGAGAACGAGAAATAGAGAACCGCTCTCTGAACTCGCAGTGCTCACGGTTGACGCAGTGTCCGATGCGGAGCTCCTTGTCATTCTCCGACGGAGCGCCAAGGGTCCCCGAATAGCACACTGATATCTCAACTTTGCAGATCGAACCCCGACTTCGTTGTTAGTCGTCAGTTTTCGCAGGAGGACCATTCGATCGGCACCGCGCAATTCCAGCGGGGGGATAATGCGAAGACAAGCGAGTCACAAGACTAGGAGCCGTTGCTTCCCGTGGCGTACAGTGTCAGAGAGGGCAATCAGTGCAATATGACACTCTCCCTCTGACAAACAGAGTCTTTCGATAATGGAAAATCAGGTGTAAAAGTTATACTCGATTTATTACTTAATCCAACAGTATTGCGAACTCCGAAGTCGGACGTAACTGTTAGCCTATCTCCTTCGGCTAGCGAGTACGAGTCAGGACTGGATATGGCCTCTACCGGCCAGGAAGCGTGAACAGTCAACGCTTACCCGGGGCTCGATCGGAGAAATCGTGAACTCGTAACTCGTTACGTATTCGTTGCTTCATCGCTCTTCTTTACACTTCGAAAAGCTTCATTGGTTACACCAACAAGCCCTAGAATTCTACGCAGTACTTCTCATTTCGAGTCACAAATACAGATGAGATCCCCAGAGAAGCGGAATGAGCGGATCGGGAATGGATAAGATCGAGCAAGAGCGGGCCAACGATTAAAGTTCTCGACTGGAAGTGATATGAGGGTGCTCGCTCAAATACGACCGCAGAAGTGTTGGACAGTCGGTCATGACTCCGGTTGCTCCCAGCTCAAAGCACCGATCGAATGTTTGCCTATCATTGATCACCCACAAATATACCTGTGAAAGAGTGATGAAGACTCTTATGTTTAGGATCGCCGAGATGATTTCTCTTGATCATAATACATCGGCTTGAAGGTCGGTTTTCGCAACTTACCTGAATACCGCGACGTCGGAGATGATTGAAAATGAAGGGACGCATCAGAAGGAGATCGATAGCTAGGAGGAAGAACCAATAGGCTGGGTTCACTCCAGCTGCATCTCTGGAAAAGCGGAGCGTGAAAGGACGACCGTCAGGTGCTAGGGGCCTATTTCGGAGAATCTGCGACTGCAAGTTCTGGTCCTATCAAGGGACGGGCGTCTGAAATTGACCTACCGGAAGTATCTATTGTTCTCTTGAGCCCTCGGATGGAACACGCTTAGGCACGATTCTTCGATGGGCAAGAAAGGCAGGAGGCCAGACCAAGCAGCGAAGATCAGCCAGCCGACGCGGGGCGCTGAGAAGATTATCGGGATCGATGGTTCCTACAATTCGATTACCATCATCCAAATCGTAAAATTATCAAATTCAAGCGGCGGATCTGGAGAGCACCTCCACACCTCCAGTAGAGCTGGCTCATGAACGAGTCTCACCATTTTGAAGCATTTTTGAGTAACCACGTCGGAGATGCTCCCCCAAACAGTTATGTCTTGCCTTCCGAACGTGACTATTAGCTCGAAGACCTGTTCTATAAGTTCGTCTTCATTGCGCTTGATGTCAATCATCATGGGGGTTTGCGGAAACCTGAAGAGTCGCGTGCTGGTCAGCTTATGGATGCGATTCGACGCTTTCCCGGGGGAAATATTGGGAGAAGCGTCTTTAGTCAGAGCAGCGTTCGGTAAGCGGTCCAACTTCGCGGACCCCTCCGACGACCAAAATATCAAATCGCTGAG